TGCTCTTGACGCTTGTTAGAGCGTAAGAAGAAACGCTCCGAGCCTTTCAGACGCCACCTCACGAGCCGTGGGACCTACCATTTGTTTACCATCGTCAGCGGTTGCTGCTACCTACCGTCTGAATCCGCCGCACCGACGTTGCACCCATTTATTTTGAAGTTCATGGGTCTGGACATCACGGCATTCCGTCCCCGCTCTCAGTGAACCGCCGTTGGCAGGACCACACCATCACAAGCAATCAAAAAAAGCCATGGCATTGTCACCGGGTGGCATCGTTTCGGCTCAGCTAGGCTTCCTTGCCATCTTCAACCCATCGTTGGGTCATTCCGATGAGACTCTTGACGATCAAATTGTTTACTACTCTTCAGTCAACACCCAACGACATAAACGGCGTCACCGCTCACGTGCAAAGCCAACTGAGAATCTGTCTCAAGAGGAGCGCAATGAGCGTCTTCGTCAGATTGGTCTTGCCCAGGGCATGGTCGAGTTCAGCAAGAGCTTCTCTGGCGGCCAGCCTGTCGACTCCATCGACACGGACAAGACACGTGTGATCCTCCATGAGCTGGAGCAAGACTGGTGGATTCTTGCGGTACGTTTCTCCTTACACTGCTTTGTTTTCTTATTGCTGATTGCCTGCAGTCCATTGATCTTACTCGTATTCCTTTGCCGCCCAAGCTTCAGACAGGGAAAGCAGAAGAAACCCCAGAAGAGGTTGTCGAGTATTCATCTAAGGAGATTAAGCCGTCATCTCTTCTGTTGCAGGATCTGCTCCGTGCCCATACTATCTTTCTGCTTCATCATGGCACCTCACTCAGTGCCCTGTTTGTTCGCTCCCGAAGAATGAGTTTCCTCAGCCTGCTTGGTCGGTATTGGGACCTATTTTTGTCAACTTGGAACGTAATGTTACAAGGGAACCCAATTCGCACAGTATTTGGAGGCATCAACATCGCTGCGTCTGGCGAACTGGGCATTGGCGTCGGCGAAGAGGAGCGGGGCAGTGGGGAACGAGAGGTGTTGGAAGGGCTCGTCACTAGAGTTGAGGGTCTTAAAGACCTGGTGGTCTCAAAATTTGGATCATTGGATGCCGATGGGGAATCGAAAACCGGGAAGGAGCCGAAGAGGTCCTGGCTGGGTACAGGACAAGATCCAGGTCCTGAAGACGGTGCCATTTTTCTGGGGACAGGAGCGTTATCTCGCAAGTCCGTGAGAGATATCACCCTATGGATGGAAGACTTGTATACATGGGGAGAAAACGCCTACGGCGTCATTGATAGTCCGACATCTCTTCGCGCTGGCCGACGGGTGAAGAGATCTGAGCCGGCCCCGGAATCCAAACCAGCACCAGCCCCGGCGCTTACAACGAAGCCAGCAGTACGGCCGCCGGTTCGCCCCAACAATCATCGATCAAATTCTGGCTCTGCTTCTGGGAGCTCGACCTCGACGAGAACACTGGCTGAGCGGCGTGGGCTTGATATTGGTACGGTGAAAGAAGCCAAAAGGCCAAGTGACACCAAGGGCAATTCGGCCCCCGTTCCCGAGATCGGCGACACCGAAGCCGACACTGTAGCCGCTACCGGCTCTACCGCTACGCCAACTCAAGGAGAGAGCGATGGCCACATGGACAAACTTATGACGGTCATGAAGTTGGGGTACGGCACGTATTGGTCAATCGGCAAATCGGATACTTCTTCGTCTGCGTTTAAGAGCCAACTATCTGCCGTTGCTGCGTTTCAAACTGGGGAGTCCTCTAAGGCTGCGGTGAACCCGCATGTGAAACCTAAGCAGATGGAAGATGACGAGGGACATTACCTCATCGGCCTGATGGGCGATGTCGAGGAGGGTAGTGGCGACGAGGAAAACGGAGCCTCAGATGAGGCAGCTGAGCCCGAATCGAACTCTCGTACCATGCTACGCACCGTCCACGTTGAGCTTGACAAAGTTGGCACGGATCGCCTAGAAGCAGATGTCGTGAGGAACCTCGGCAACCTCACGAACGATGTGACGCCTCTCGGAGCCAACGCTGTGAGCTCGAACCCGACATTTGGAAACCAGGACTCAAACAAAGCAAGCAAGATGCGCGTCGTCGTTTACGTAAACAAACCCTTCATATTTACTTTCCTCTTTGAGTTGAGGACCGACTCGCTGGCCTGGAACTCGTTCTACAAGTCTCTTCATTTCCAGTTGGCACCTTTACGAAAGCCACTTTTATCTTCGATCCAATATCGGCCAGATAGGCCGGAGTCCAGTTCTTCATCGTCCAACATCTACGATCTCGTATGGGACGCTGAGGCTATGACGGTACATTCGACCATACCAAATATTCCGGACCACACACAAGCATTCCTATCAAACGCACCATTACCATGGTCAAGAGTGGAGGCCATGAACACACACATGCAACTACTCAACATTTTCAACCTCACCAGGCCGGAAATGAATCAGCTCGAGAGGACCTGCAAGACCAATCGTGGCTGGTGGGTCGTCTGGCAGCGCATCCTGAATCGACACGCCACGAGCGACGAAGCATTTCAGCCAGCGCAGAACTACGAGGACGGCGCCCAGTCGACGTCGGATAGGGACGTTTCCCCAGCGAGCGGCGATGGATCCAGCACAGCGCGGCCGGCATCGCCTACGCCGCCGAGCCCGACGGTCAGTAAGGAGATTATCCTGATCCGTAGGGCGAGCGATCACGCCGGCTACCGCGGCGTCAGCTCGTCGTTCGCCGAGGGCGGCATAGGACTGACGGGATCTGGGTGGGGCGGTGACGGCGCGGGCCGTCTTGCGTCGGGGATCGGCATTGACACACGGAAGTATATTGAGGGGCTCTTGAACTTTAGCCGGTGAAGAACATGATGTAGTTGCTCTAGAACTCTCCAAAATCTAGGGCGGCCGGGGCGGTGGTCAATTTTCCTTCCTTTCTCCAACTTCTAGGTTGAGAGACACGCGGAGTACGCGGGGAGCGCAAAAACGGATTAGCTACGGCTGTGGCGTTGGGTTCGTGTCAATAACAGGGGAGACATCATGATGATACGCATCAGCGGTGGACTTTTTTTTCCCCCCTCGTCAAGAACATGATTAGATGAGGGTAATTTTTTGTCAATGAATGACCAAAGGTCGATATCTCATGACCGTGCGTAAACCCATTGCACTCGAGTAACGTCATGATTCCTTTCCTGGCGTACTTTTTAGGACGAAAGTGCCCGGCTTGGCTTCGGGCTAATTTTGAGTCCACGGCGTGTGTCTGTGTGTCTGCTCTGCTTTGCTACACTACCTAGACTTGTTAGTAACAGCAGGTCATAATTTCTGCGCTAGAGAAATTGTAATTCTTCTATTGCCGCAGTAGCTTGACAGCGGCTCGGTAGCCATGACGCCATGGGATCTAGAAGTGTGACGCGTGACATTTTGGATCTGGGTATTGAGTTGAGTGTGAGTAAGTGTCCTAAACGTCACGATCCAGGGCAGTAGTGTAAGGCGAGCAGAATCGCCTTCGGTCCTGGGTAGGGGGCTTCTGAAGGCGACAACAGATGAGTAGTTGATTACGTCTAGAAATGGGACATCAGAGGGCTTATGAAGAATGGATGATCGCTTGGCAGAGCAAGCTACCTAGACGAAAGAGCTGCAGGGTGATGCCAAGCCCTTTACGTTGGATGAATGTGTTTTCTTTTGTCGGTGCCGCCAGTCTCAATGGCTGCTTCACTGATAGCGGCAAAATACGTCTCAGAAGCTGAGAGTCGATTTTGGTGAGGGAGAAACAAAGACCATGATACTTACAATGCCACTAATGAGCGGCTGAGGTCTCTTATCGCTCCGTTTTATGTCCCTAATGAAACTAAATGAAAGTTAGAGAGCAAGAGACTGAATGGAGATGTACGAAGATTTAAAGAGATCTTCTTAACCTCTATGTTCATGTGATGATAATTGTAGCTAGATACTGTCCGCTCTCAAGCGACAAAAAAAGGTTAATCAGGACTTAGGGGACTGTGGACTGGTAGCGCTGATTTGAGGGTGTAAATCATGACCGTGAGTTCACCACGCCGGAAGCTTGTTGAATAGTACGCGGGTGTGACTGTTTGTCCGTGGGGAAGCCACCGGGGGATTTGCTGCTCCTGCGTTTTCTGTTATTTACCTTGATTATCATGACTCCTGGCTGAATATCTGTGAGGGTCTAGATGGATGGCAGCTCAAGTTCGACGCGACAGACTTTCCCAAGCGCGGGATATGCTGGCTTCACCTTGTTTCACCGAAGTAGTCGCACAAGGTTCGATAGGACGACAGCGATCGTAACAAGGGTACAGAAACAATGAGCCGGGGCTTAGATGTGTTGTGGATGGTCGAAATGGATGCTTTCTCTAGGGGTGGTTGCTGGGCTGCGGCCGACTTCCCCCAAAGCAACAGCGAATCGCCAGGAAGAGAGGGGGATTTGCTGCAGGGGCCGGAGAACGCACGGCAGACAAGGCGAAGAAGGAGGGGCAAGAGGATTTCCCAGAGAAGTGGGAGGGGGACTGCGAGGCTCTTCACCTGCCAACCGGCATCACCCCGCCGGTAACAACCTACGGAGTGCAGCATGTAGGGGTTCTCTGTACTTCATGGGGAAGGTAGGGAGAGGGTCTGACAGAGTTGACAGGGCTCAGAGCACCGAGAAAAGTCTTTTCACCTTCCATCCCTACCACAGAAAAGCTGGATGGGAAACTCATGAACCCTGCAGGAAGGGCGAAAACAGAGCCACAATTGCCAATGAGAGCCGCGCAACCACGAGCGCTGCGGCCTTGCTTCCTTTTGCTTGCGGCCTCCCAAGAGTTTCCCAACAAGTCCACAAGTTGAACGAGAAGAGGGCCCAGTGGTCCACGGCTTTCGGGCACGTCGGGAGAGGCGCCACCAGAAACGCGCCACCATCTGTAAGAAATCTTTCCCTCTCAGCTCCGAGTTGCTCACTCCCCCTGCAAAGTTCTACTGCCTTGGTTTCAGAAGCTAGCTGTTGCCAGTTGAATATGCCCTATCCGTCAGTACGGGGCAGGTCGGTGGGCGCGAAATGTATGACGGTCGCGGATGTCCCAGGGATTCGTTGGGCTGAACGCGGTCTCGTCCAAGCCGTCTAGCGGCATCGTCGGAGCCGTCTTGGACCCTTGGATGATGCCATTGGACCGCGTTAGGCATGTCAGGCGCTCGAGCAACATCAAGCTTGAAGCTGCAAAGCAATGCGTGGAAGCTCGCGCCCTACCGAACGGTGTCATGTACAGTGTCTTGCGTGTGCGCATGTGTAAGTACATCGAGGCTCAGATGCCAGTAGATAGGGCACGGAACTGAGGTAGGTAGGTGGGGGGAGGTACGTACCGTGTTAGTGTTGATGGTGTTGTGTTGTGTTTTGCGCGCGTGAAGGAAAGACATTGGCTGGTGAGGTCATAGTTCCCGCAAGTGCCGATCCATCATCGAAGCTCTATCTCCCTCTTGTCCTTGTCCGCGCGCAGCTTCCGTAGCAGCAGCGCACAATCTCCATGCCCGGTGCCGAAAGAGTTCTTCTTCACCTTACACAGTAGAGGCGGCTTAGGTTAGGTTCCCATCCATGTCCGACTGACTTTTTAACCTGGGAAGAACCCTCCTCGACCGATCCCAGCCCACCCTCCCAACTTATTAAAGATACCCTTGCCTGCTGCTCATTGCGACTGCCTTTCCGCCACGACCTTAATCACCCGACAACCAAAGTCCAGATCCAGAACTATCTTATTTGTCCCACGCCACCCCTTAAGACTCTGTTTGACTCCTGTTCTCCTCCACATCACACACACAATTACAGTCCGAAATCAACATTCCGTTGTTTGTCTGACAATATCAACAGCAAAGAGTCACCATCGTCATCAAGCACCAGTCACGCCACAGCATCCAGCTTCGTCTTAGACACAGCTATAAACAAATCGACACCAATTACACATTCCGGTGCTTATAGAGAACCGTCCTCTCGGCTTTTTCAAGCTCTCTAGATACCTGAAATCGCTCTTGCCGAATTCTCACGACAAGCGATACACAACCAGCCCAACATGATGGAATCAATGTTGCAGGTCCTCGTCCGAGGTGTACAGATCCTCTGGGTCCTCCTCGTCACAGCATTGATCGGCAATGTCATCGCCCTCAACATTAACAGCGCCGGCTCCGCTATGGCCGCCATCAACTTCTCCATGTTCGTCGCCGTCCTCAGCTGGTTGGCGGCTCTGTACGGCCTTGCCGCTGCCTTTGTCTCGGCCATCGCCATTCCCATTGTGCTGTTGGCCCTTGACGGCGCAGCCATTCTCTTCACCTTCATCGACGCTATTGTTCTCTCGGCCAAGCTGCGCGCAGTCAACTGCGGCTCTCTGAACAGAAGCAACCTGCCGAGCGATTACATCGTCTGGGGTTCCGGCGACGATGAGAAGCGATGCCGCGAGATTCAGGCCAGCACCGTCTTCATGTGGTTCCTGTTTGCTAGCTTCTGCGCAGGAGGCTTCTTCACCTTCATGAACTTCCGTCGCGGCGGTGGCTCTGTCCGCAGCTCTCGCCCTAGCATGGCCCAAGTCGGCGTCTAAGTCTACGACTTTCTCAACTATGTGCGGCGCAGACTCTGCAAAATGAAATAGAGTACAAACGGGGTATGGAATTGGACGGGCCGGCTGGGTAGGACATTTGGTCATCGCAAGACTTGCAGGAAGACCACCGAGTCCTGACGGCGTTGGCGGCAGGTTATTGATAACTTTACCTTTCACGATGGCATGTAGTAATAATGAATGACTGGATATGGGTATGGGATGACATGGATATCTTGTCAGGGATACGGCGGGGCCTATGATGCCTTGGGAGCTGGGGCATTTGTCATGGAGCCATGAGCAGCTCTTTGTAGTACAACAACGAATTGATACCATTCCACGACTTTACCCTTCCCCTACTACACGTGACCCATATAGGATTATAGGATATGGATTATGTATTCACCTCCGAGATTGACCAAATCGATACTGAGCATACTGCGATCGCGAGCTAGTTGACCCCCTTGGCATCGAGATATGCTTGATAAATTCGTTCAAACGTTCGATTTAAATCTAGTCTTTTGGACCGGGCTGGATGCCTCGCCTCAATATGTGCCGCCTGGTCTTCTATGACGGCTTGCCCTCAACGCCAACCATGTATACACGCCGAACACCATGCAGGATGTTGCGGGCTTGGTAGTAGAATGCCCAAAGTCTCGTTTTTCCAAAGAGCCCAGTAAGCCCCAAAATGCGCTTCTTATAATGTTGCCGCTGCCTCAGCCGCGCCGGCGGCCTTGAAGGCGCCCTTGTTCGTCCACCGCACCTCGACGTTGTGCATCCATTCCATGTATCGTGACCAGCCTGTGGGTATACCGTGTCAGCATCTTGAACGATGACGAGAGACTTGAGAGACCGGGGCGAGGCTTACTCCAGTATGCAAACTTGCGACCAAAGTATTTGCCGGCAAAGGGAACAATGACCATGGTCAAGAGGAGCTGGACCTGCTCCAAACTACGCTCCCACTCCTCCTGGGCGTCTGATTCATCCTCGGAGTCTAGCACGCTGCTCGATATTGAAGGCAGGGAGTCAATCTCGTCGTTATCGGAGGAAGGTGAGACGTCGTCGTGCAGGATGAAGGAGTCGGTGGATGCCATCATGTCGGGGGCAGGCAGGCGTCGTCGGCAGCTCGGTTCTTGGGTTCAGGTGCGTTGAATGAATCGGGGGAGGAGGGTATCGAACTCGGTCGGCACGCTGCTTCTCGAAAATAGCTAGGGTCTGTCCCTTGCACGCGTCCGCTTGATGTTCGTAGCTGTTGTGATACAAGACGACCCTCTTGATGGGCGTTCGCAGGGGACGGTTGATTCAAGGTCCGCGATGTCTCTCCAATGGTTAATGCCGGTGCAGCTTGAATGGGCCAACAGCGGAGATCGGAACGCCTGGAGCTCTCTCTCCCCCGTTTCCTCAACCAGAAACGGCAATCAGGACGGCCACTCGCAGACGTTGGGACCTCGATTGTAATTGGCTTGCAAGTCGCTTTTGATGGGTCCTACTAACGCTGCAGGCGAGGGGGCATGGTGACAGACGGCAACGGGCACAAACGGAAAGAGTCACCTTGCGGTCACGTGAGACGTACAATCACTGAGTCACAGCCCACCCTCACCTGTCGGGCGCGCAGCCGCTACCTTACAGTGGGCAAAGATAGTCGTCTTCCACCCTCACGTCACACCCCCTCAAGAAAATCTCCCAACTGCTGCAGCCAATTCTCATCTCTGCTCTCACAAATTCGCATTACCGAACCATTTTGTGACGGACCACAGACAGCCTCCTTCCGCCATTTCACAGACCGGTCGTTCGGGATTTCTGCACCATATCGCGCCGACAGTAGACTCATTCAGTCGCACCGTGGACCAGCCCAGATTAATACCAGCCCAAAGGAATTCGCCAGGCGCCGCCCCAGGATACCTAACCGAGACTCGGTTCAGTGAGACACAGGCCGCAATCATGGATGTCGAAGTAAGTTACCGTTGCTAGCCCTCCCTCATGCGCACTTCTGAGCACCACCACCCACTGGCCCCTCCACCAATCCCATGCTTGATTACCCCACTGCGAACCGGAACCAGACACGAATTGAACAGAACATTTTCCGTGACTCAACCTCTGTCAAACCGCCCGAGCTGCTGGACATCATCACCACCTGACCGTTGTTCGACCCCCCGTCCCCTCTTCTACTGATCCAGTTTTTTTCTCTTCAATTCCTCAAACGGAGAAAAAAAAAAGACCCAAACACCATTGAATATCGTTTTCTAACATAGGTGCCTCCCCCCACAGGATACCACTCCCGCCCCCGAACGCAAACAGCGCAAATCCGTCGCCTTCACAGACGAGCAAGTAGTAGTCGACGCAGACGGTTCAGTCACAATGGTCAACGCCACCGAGGAACCCAAGGAGACAGCCCAGTCGCACACGCCCCGTACGCCGCCGCTTACCGCAGCCCTTGAAGCCTTACATGCTGATGCCAATTCTCAAGCTGGAGCCGAAGATGCGACGGCCCCTGTCCCCGATGTTGCTGAAGATGGCGGGCTCGACCTGTCAATGAAGAAAAAGAAGAAGAAGAAGGTTCCCAAGGAAGGTGACGACGCTGAGGAGGCTGCCGCTGGCGAGGACGGCGGTCTTGACCTGTCGATCAAAAAGAAGAAGAAGAAGACGAAGGTTCCCAAGGACGGCGATGAGGACGAGTTCACCGCTAAGCTCAAGGCCCTGGAGCTCGAGGGCAAGGAGGAGGGCGCCGAGGCCGAGGGTGCTGCCGACGATGGCGACATGGACCAAGGTACCGGTATCTGGCAGCACGACGAGACCAAGGCCCTCAGCTACAGCCTGCTCCTGAACCGCTTCTTCCACCAGCTGTCTCAGAAGAACCCCGACCACGCTCTGAGCGGCTCCAAGAGCTACAAGATCCCGCCCCCGCAGTGCATGCGTGAAGGCAACAAGAAGACCATCTTTGCCAACATTGCCGAAATTTGCAAGCGTATGAAGAGAACCGAGGAGCACGTCACAGCCTACCTCTTCTCCGAATTGGGTACCAGCGGTTCCGTCGACGGCAGCAGACGCCTTGTTATCAAGGGTCGTTTCCAGCAGAAGCAGCTTGAGAACGTGTTGCGCAAGTACATTAGTGAGTCTTTGCTCGGTGCCCCTGACGTTTGCTGCCGCGTAGATGCTGACCAAAGTTCTTTTCTTTCCCTACAGTCGAGTACGTCACCTGCAAGACCTGTAAGCTTACGAACAAAATACCCCACCATTGCGTCTCGTTGCGATTACTGACAACCGACCCCAGGCAAGTCCGCCGACACCGAGCTGTCCAAGGGAGAGAACCGTCTGTACTTCATTACTTGCAACTCTTGCGGTTCGAGACGTTCCGTCACCGCCATCAAGACCGGTTTCTCCGCCCAGATCGGAAAGAGAAGAAAGATGCAGGGTTAAGCGACGACAACCAAATTACGACCCCACGGACCAGAAACGAGAAAAGAGTTGGAGAGGTGTTTCTTCTACGCTATTTACGTCCTTTAGCGTACTCTTGTCTTGTAGATATGACCTTCGCTGGCCCAGGCAGTGTGCACTGCGGCATTCACAGCTGCGGCGCTCCGGGTGGCCAATGGATTGATGGCACAATAGAGAAAATTGGCGTTTCCACCCTTAAAAATTGGTACGGTAGTCGGGCAGTAATGTCAAATTTCTTGATGATGCTCATGTCTTCGGCATTCTTTGAACACGCGTATCTGCAGTAACCAGCAGTCTGTGGAAATCTACGACAGCAGTGACGCAGGCCGCGGACGTGTGTCGATGATGCCGCGTTTCGGCTTTCATACGGTGGGAGGAGTGCAAGGGCCGGAGGGGCAAGGCCGGCCGACCTCACATGTGCGGCGACCTATAGTCAACCACCACCACCACCACCACCACCACTTTCCTCGCCCAGGCACATGACTGATCAGTTCACGCGACCAACATCACATAAATACCAACATTGACGACTGCATTTCACATAGAACTTTGGCTGCAGTAAAAGTCTCTAACATATAATTCACAACATTCCAAAAACGGCACATCGCGGTTTTATAAAGCTTATCAATAACCCCTCAACCCCGATAAGAAACCCCGAGCATCTCAACTTAACCCTCAACAAGCAAAGCAATGACAGGCGAAACCCTCCAGCCGGGCCAAGCCGACCTGCCCTCGGCCAAGAGCACGGCGTCGTACTGGCACCGCGAGCCTTCCAAGACGCTGCTTGGCCACCGGACCACACGGGACCTGCCGCCGACCGCGGACGTCGTCGTCGTCGGCAGCGGCATCACGGGCGCGTTCGCTGCCAAGGAGTTGCTGGAGCGGGCTGGTGCCGGCGCTGGTGGGGAGGGGAAGAGGGTTGTTCTGCTTGAGGCGCGGGAGGTTTGTTGGGGGGCTACTGGACGGGTGAGTTCTTTCAATTTCTTGTGTATTTTGAGAATGTCTCGTTATGGAGGTTCTTCCATTGTTTGGAAGGGCTTAGACGGGGGTGACTTCCTTATCATCGTCTCACTCACTCATACACGCCATACTATCTATCCCCGCCAACATCCCAAGCCCTCCGATTTACCTTAAAAAGGAACCTTTAGAACTAACTTGACAATCCAGAACGGCGGCCACTGCCAGCCGGTAGCTTACAGCCCAAACACCGCCATCGCAACCTTTGAGCTCGCAAACTACGCCCACATCCGTGACCTCATCGCCAACAATGCCATCCCCTGCGACTGGGTCTCCCTCCGCGGCGTTCACGCTCTGCTGACGCCCGATCTCGTCGACGCCGCTCGCAAGCAAATCGCCGCATTACCGCCCCGCTTCGCGTCGCTCGCGCGCCTCGTCACGGACGCGGAGGAGCTCGCAGACCTCAGGATCCCGGACGCCGCCGGCGCCGTCGTGCAGGAGGAGGCGGCAAGCGTGTGGCCCTACAAGCTCGTGTCGTGGATCTTTGAAGATCTGCTGCGGAGGTTCGGAGTGGACAAGGCTGACGTGGACACTTTGACGGGAAACGTCGG